GAATACAATAAAAAAAAACCAGGATCAGGAACATCATTCTCAGCAGCAATGATGGAAAATGCCTAGAAGTCTATACTGACAAATTAGGTGTGAGGGTGGAAAGGGGGCAATTTAAAGCAATATAAAGTCTCAAAAAATTACTTCCCATAAATCCTTTCTCTGAAAATCATTAGGGGACATGCTCTAACAAAAGGAGACTATAAACCAAAAAACAGAAGATCTAAGAATACAGACAATACGGACTATAACAAAGCAGAGACAAGAAGGGGATCCCCAGGATGATGACCAAGAGTTGTTGAAGGACAACAGCTGTACAGCCTGATCCAGACTGCAGTGGGCCTGGGGGGCGAGGGGGAGTGCCAAGAAAAAATTAAACTGATAAATTATTTGACACGATCCACCATGTATAGAATTGAAAATCTTTTACTGAACTACAGGAGAGTGTGGGAAGATTTAGTCAATCAAAGAAAACAAAATAACTTCAAGAGAAACAAAATTATGTACAAGAGGAAGTATATTTATGACACTTCAGTCAATTCAACAGGCAACAATATTCATATAAAAATAACAGATAACAAACTTTGAAAATAGAACCACCATATGATCCAGCAATCCCACTCCTGGGCATATATCTGGAAAAGATGAAAACTCTAATTCAAAAAGATACATGCACCCCCATTGTTCATAGCAGCACTATTTACAATAGCCAAGACACCAGAAGCCACCTAAGTGTCCATCAATAAATGAGTGGATAGAGAAGATGTCATATATATATATATATATACATACACACACACACACACACACACACACACACAGAAATATTACTCAGCCACAAAAAAGAATGAAATAATGCCATTTGCAGCAACATGGATGAATCTAGAGATTATCATATTAAGTGAAATAAGTCAGACAGAGAAGACAAATATTATATATCACTTACATATGGAATCTAAAAAAAATGATACAAATGAAGTTATTTATAAAACAGAAATAGACTCACCAACATAGAAAGCAAACTTGAGGTTACCAAAAGGGAAAGGAGGGGATAAATTAGGAATTTGGGATTAACAGATACACACTACTATATATAAAATAGATAAACAATAAAGACCTACTATATAGCATAGGGAACTATATTAAATATCTTATAATAACCTATAATGGAAAAGAATCTGAAAAAGAATATATATTATATATGTAAAACTGAATCACTTTGCTGTACACCCAAAACTAAGACAATATTGTAAATCAAACTATACTCAATAATAATAAAAGAAAACCCAGCATCTAGTCCAATTCCATTATACAGATGAGGAGACTGAGGCCAGAGAGGCAGGAACACGCCTAAGGCCCAACAGCCAGTTGGTAGCAGAGCTCTATTTTCCTGTTTGTTTTACAGAGAAAACATGAATTACATGGATATTAATTTTCTTAAGAATCTGACTTCTAGTAAGTTTCCCTCAGTGATCTGTACTTAGAAAATCTATATTTACTCAGTTTTGAAATCACAGGGAAGATATGATCAGTATTGGAACTACAGGGACCCTTATGAATCATTGTCTCAGCCAATGCCCATGGAAAACAAGAAGGGACTTGTTCAGACTAGAATCCAGGTCATCAGTTTTGGCACTTCCATGGTTGCCACTTACTGAGCATTTCCCAAGGGCTGGACCCTGGGCTATACGTTTTATGTCCACAGCAAACGGCTCAATGAAGTAAGCACTGTTGAACCTGCATTTCTCAGTTGAGAAAACTGAGGTTCAGAGAAGCAGACCTTGCCCAAAGTCCCAGAGCCAGGAAGACGTGGAGTGTGGATTTAAATTTTGGCCAGTCTGACCCCCGAGACCAGGCTTGTCCTAACTCTGCCTTCCTGCCTCTGCCCTCTCCAGAGACAAATCAAATGGCCATCCCTAAGCCAGATGCGGAAGGGATTTGGAATGCCAAATGCCAGTCCTCCTTGCTGGTATCATTGTCATGGTGGCCCCAAGTGGTACAGGCAGGGCAGAAGGATCTGACCAGGGTACCCGTCCTCTTTTGCCCTAAGTGGACATGCTCCCAGTGCTGGAGGCAGGATTAGCTGGCCAGATACCAACCAGCCTGATTTTAACCATCTGCCAAACAAAATCATCCTCCCTCTGGAAGGATAACAAACCTTAGGAAAAACCAAGAGTCAATTTGCTACGGAATTGCTTGTCAGATGTCAGAAGCCTGGGGGACATGGATGAAACGTGGAAGGAGCTGACTGCTTTAGGATGTGCCTGTCCTGCTGGCTAGCTGTTGGCTCTGCAGATACAGCTGGGTTGATGAAAAACATCCTTCATTTTTCCCCAGGGGGACTGTTTCAGAAAGGATAGGTTAGGTTCTGTCTGTAATAATAAACAACTACATCTCAGTGGCTTAACGCAAAAAAATCATCTTTTTCACTCATGCTATACATCTAGTGTGGGTTGGCAGAGGTCTCTGTTCTGAACGGTCACTCAAGGACCAAGCTAACAAGGGATCCATCTAGATCCAGGCTTCCAAGTTTACTGAGGCAGGGAAGACAGAATGTGGCAAACCACCCACAGGTTTTTAAGGCTTCCACCTGGAAGTGATACAGGTTTCTTCTGGTAACATTTCATTGGCCAAAGAAATCTACG